ACTCTTTTGGTGAAGTCTTTTGAAGAGCATAGGTGTTTGATTTTTAGAAGATCCCAGTTATCTAGCTTATCTGTTGGGGTTCGTGCGTTGATGGTTATGGTTTGTATCCTGTTAATGCCATGTATTAAGGCCTGAAGTGTTGGTCCTGTTTTTTCTTCTTCCATAGGGTTTTTTTGGCTGTCATCTTTACAGAAGCAGTTTGCCAAGCCTTCCTTCTGTGACTCCACTGCATGCGTTTGAACTAGCAACCTTTAGGTTAGCAGCTGATTGCAAACTGCTTGTGCCACCCAGATACCTAGGAGAGTATTAAAATGGTAGGGATACACAAGAGTGCTGAGAACATGAAATTGTGGGGGCTGCAGGGAGAGGAAGTATAGGAAAATAAAAACTCTGAAAAGAAAATGAGATAGCGTAAAAGATATTTCTTCTTTCAAAATGTCAAGGGCTAACTCCACCTTCAGAAAATGGTCGAAAACACTATTTTATACCCTTTATTCCTTTGTATCTCTTTATTTCTCTGTTCTTCGAACTCAGAATGTAGGCTAGTTATACTATGGTTGCAACAAGCTTTTGTAAAAATAATTTGGGAACAAAGCAACTGTAGCATTAGAATTCAGAGTGCAAAGTCCCCAAGAAACAAACAGAAAACTCCAGATAACTGATTACAAATAAACTTTGGGGACACGTGTCCTTAAGTTAAGAACTGCCATTATGGGCAACAAAAAGTGAATGACTGGGATTATATGTAGCTGAGATGACCCACTTTATCCTTTTTCACATAGTTATTTTTGAACCAGAGAAACATTGTTAAAATGTTAGTTTAAAACCACAGCCACATATAAATTAACCCTCCCACACATTTGAAGACCTAGAATATAGCCATGATAAATAATTCTCAGAGCCAAAATATTATAAAATTTCTTAGTCAAAAATTTTCTTCACCTTTCTGTTTTGATGGTAAGATCATAAAAATTTATAGCTTATAGTAAAGTATCTACTAACATGTAATCGTAAATATTTCATTGAATTACGCAATGTTCAAAGGCGGATTTGGGGGCACAGCATTAAAAGGTTAAAAAGTACCCGAACCTGAAGGTATAGCTAACTGTGCGTGGATCTTGGTCTTCCCAGTTTATCAAAGTCAGAGCTATGTGACTTTGGTGAGGTTTTTAGCTTCTCTGATCTTTAGTTCAGTTTCTTTAAAGTGTTGATGGCAATACCAACCTCCCTGGTTTGTAGTGAGGATTAAGTGATGGAGTATATGAAATACCTGGCTCATAATAGGTACTCAGTGTCAGTTTCCTCCTTACTTTACAGATTTTTACTACATATTGACCGTGGCTCATCCTATGGAAATGTTCTCTAAAATTATCCTTATTAGTGGAATATGGATATAATTATATAAAATTTTTATTAACATACAGTTTTCAGATCTTTGAGGTAGCTCAGGACTAAGCACGGTACAGTCTGTTTAACAAAAGTTTGTTGTTATAATGAAGAATCAACAGACAGTTGATTCTACTTTTACTAAGCACTGATCAGGTAATAAGTGACACCAGTGACAAAATTCCTGTCACAGCATCTCACAATTTAATGAACTTTCTATCCTATTAAGTATTTAATACAAAGCTATGTGTAAACATCACAACAAATATGTTGACATAGAAGAGTTTCAAACTTTCAAAGAGTTTGATTCTTAATTTTGTGATAGTCGCGGCAGACAGGGGAAGTAGAAAAGTTTGAAGAGTCATTGATATATAAATTACATAAATGAAACCAGGTTTTTCTCCATTCCATCATTTTGTTTTATTTCACCTAGGCAGAACATTGTATACATATATAGCCATCTTTTCTCTATATGCAAGGTTTTGCATACAATTCCACCCAAAAGCTCAAATTTTTCTCTTAGGTAGATTTAGTTCATAATGCACATATAAAATGAAATCGATCTGTTCTTAATTCTGTTTTAATAAGGACATGTACTCAAATGAATGAAATCACATGATCTCCTCAAGAATGATTTTGGACTCTAAGCACTTATTAAGAACATTTATTGTTGCCTATTAAATTTGACACGGAGCCCTGGTGGTGCAGTGGTTAAGCACTTGGCTGCTAACCAAAAAGTTGGCAGTTTGAACCTACCCAGCTGCTCAGTGGGAGAAAGACCTGGAGATCTGCTTGCATAAAGATTACAGCCTAGGAAGCCCTATGGGGCAGTTCTACTCTGTCACATGGGATCTCTAGGTCATATCAACTAGATTGCTCCCAATAACAACACCAACATTAAATCGGACATTTTGAAATTAATTTATATAGATAATGGAACATACAGACTTGTATTTTCTGGAAGTATACTGCCAACAACATTGTACTGATTCATCTTCAGGCAATCCAGTGGTGTGAAGACTTTTAGCAATTGCAGTTTGAGTGACTTTGAAAATTTCATTTCAAATGTGGGTGCCAGATGTCTTCAGAATAAGCCACAAATGCAAGTAAGGGCTTCAGTCTGTGGCAACCGCAAAGTGGAGGCAAATGAAATCTGTGACTGTGGTTCTGAAAAAGTAAGTCTAATAACTGGAAAAACTGACTAATAGCTTTACTGTTTTAGTTCATCTTTTTTGTCATAAATGTTAGGTATCTCATATATGACTGAGTATACAATGCAAAATATTGAAGCTAAGTGATATTGAGGTTGCAATACACATAAGAATATACTGTCTAGATTTTATCGATTGAAGAGTTTTGAAGAAATTTAAAATATACTGCAAAAAAGCTATTGTTCCTGGGAAAAAAAGGAGAGTCTAGAATGAACTTTTGGGTTCTAGGCTAAATGCATAAGATCTTTCCAAACCTCTGCATAACTTTTGGACATTTGATAAAATGTTTTATTGAAGATGAATATGTTAGCAGCTCATCACGTGCCCCTTAGGCTATTCCTTCACAATGGGATCAGTGGTATTGTGAGGGAATCTGTGTTAATATTGCGGTCTGCACATTGAGTGATTTTGATTATTCATTTAGATAGGGAAGACCAGAAAATACAACAAATGCAAAAAATCTAGGGAAGGATGCTTCTTGAGAATTCAGTATTTGCAGGATTGCAGCAGATATCATGATTTTAAGATAGAAACAATATTAGAGTTTGCTACAAACATGGATCTGAATGTACTTGTACCTACATCAGACTATTTTAATTACTATGCTTTTGTTTTATAGTTTCCCATTTAGTAGAACAAGTCCACCCTCCTTACTCTTCGTCGTTTTTTAAAGATCAATTTAATTGAAGTATAATCTACATAAAATAAAATGCACCCACTTGTAAGCGCAGAGGTCGATGAGTTTTGACAACCCAGACCCAGGGAGGCCAGGCTCTTCAGCTGAGCAGCACAGCTCAGCCAGCCAAGGGGCGGGGTGTTGGGGCAGCACATGGGGCTAGATGGATGGGAGAAAGGAAGGAAGGAAGGCAGAAAGAGAGAAGAAACAACACCGAAAAAAAAAAAAAAGAAAAGAAAAAAAACAAAACAAAACAATAAATAAAAGGGTGCTGAGGGAGCTGGTGACAGTGGCACAGACCCGGGGAGGCCATGTGCAGTGATTCTCCAGCCCAACAGTGCAGCATGGTCCCTAGAGAAGGGACGAGGGTGGTGCACAGGGCAGGGTAGGTGGGAGAATGGAAAAAAAGGAAAGGAGAGAGTGAGCAGAAACAGGAAAAAAGAAAAAGAACAAAGCAAACAAAAAAAAATCACAACCCATCAAGAAGGGGAGGGATGGCACATGGGGCTAGCTGGGCGAGAGAAAGAAAAGGAAGGGAGGGAGCGAGAGAAGCAACAAAAAAAGCCAAAAAACAATATCAAAAAACAAACAAACAAATAAAAAAATGTTGCTGAAGTGTTGGCTGGTGGGGACAGGGTGGACCCCAGCAGCAGTGAGCTTGTGTCACTCCGGCTGAGCAACCATGATCCTTTGGAAAGTGGCAGAGGCTACATAGAGGGAAGAAGGGTGGGGGGTGGCAAAGCATGTATCCCTGGTTACCCGGTGCTCTGTCTCCTGTTGAGAACACTGTGAAGTTGCCTTCCTGTATCTCCTGTACGCAGTCCTTGGTGGCTGAGGTCCAAGATGGCAAATCTGCGTGGCAGTGAGCTGGGATCTCTCCAGCTGAGTCTGTGGCCTGCTTGGAAAGTGGTGGAGGCCTGGTACAGGGAAAGAGGGTGAGGGTGGGAAATTGTGTGTACCTGGTTACCAGGTGCTGTGTCTCCTGTTGGGAGCTCCGTGCAGTTGGCCTTTCCGCACTCCCCGTCTGTGTTTCTTGGTGGCTGTAGTCTAAGATGGTGAATCCGTGCCATGTTAGCTGGTAGGGGATCTCCACTCCATAGCTCTCCTTGTTTTCTGTTCTCTGTTTCTTATTCCATTTGGTGCTTAATCCAGTTCTTTATTCCTTCATTTGGCTCTTAGGGTTCCAGGATTGATGTTTGTATCTGTTTTACTTAGCTTTTTGGATCTTTGCTGCAGAGGGATGGCATGGCGCTTCTGTCTATAGTGCCATGTTGGCGCTGCCTGAAAATATTTTTATTTTATCTTCTTTTTTTAAAGAGAAGTTTATCGGTTATAGAATTCTATGCTTATAGTCCCTACGTCCCCTTGGAGTTCTGTAAAGAGGAAATTCTATTGTCTTCATGCTTTCATTGTTTCAGATTCGAAGTCAGTGGTAGTTCTTAACCTTATTTTCTTGTACGTAATTTTTTTCCCTTGGCTGTTTTCAAGATATCCTCTTTATCTTTGGTTTTAAGCAGTTGACTCTGAAGTGCATAGGTGTGATTCTCTTCATATTTGTGCTACTTGAGGTTTGATTAGTTTCTTGGCTCTGTTGAACTTTAGTTTATGTCAAATTTGGAAAATTTTCAGCCATCTTTTTTTATATATATATTTTTCCACCTCCACCTTCTCCCTCCTCCCCCCACAACATTCTGGGACTCCAATCACACAAATATTAGACTGCTTGATACTGCCCTATAATTCACAGAGTCTTTTTTTTTTTTTTTTGGCGTTTACTCTCTTCTGTTTAAATAGATTTCATTGCTGAATCTTAAAGTCCATTTAAGTTTTTTCTAAAGTGTCCAGTATGCTTTTAAACTCATCTAGTGAGTTTTTTAAATTTTAAAACAGAAAACCAAACCCGTTGCCATCGAGTCAATTCCAACTCATAGTCACCCTGCAGGACAGAGTAGAACTGTCATTTTCTATTTTAGATATTGTATTTTTCAGCTCTATAAATTTCATTTGATTTTTCTTTAGTTTTCATTTCTCTTTTCGTTATGTTCATATTTTACCACAAATCCTTGAATATATTTATAACAGCTGTTTTAAGATCTTGTCTGTTAATTCTATCATTTCTATAATTTATGGGTCTTATTCTATTGACTGATTTTTTCACTTGGTTACAGGTCACATTTCTTTTGCTTTTTATCATGTGTGATTTTTAAAAATTGAATACTATCTCTTCTGACCGTTATGCTATTTAATGTCTGAATTTATTTGTTCTCCTTTGAAGAGTATTAGACTATGTTCTGGCCACATTTAAGTTACTTGTTGACCACCTTCCTCTTTCTGAAGCTTATCTTTAAGACTTTTTAGAGTATTTTCTCTCTCTAGAGTTAGTTTTACCCTATATTAAAGCAAAACTCTTCTAAGTCTGTACTGAACGCACTGGCTGTTCAGTGAGGACTCTCCATTCTCGCTTGTCAGAACCTAAATGTTTCGTAGCCGATATGTCCTGGGGTTTTTCAGCTTTCAGCATCCTGGAAGTTACTTTTTCCCTTCCTAGTTTTTCTTTGTTATATTTGTACAACTCAAACAAAGGCTCAAGATGACCCCTAATCAGAATTCTGGATCTCTTTCTTTATGTGGCTTCTGGTTAACCAATAATCTCCTCCACTAAGTCAGCCACCTCAGACTCCCATTCTCTGTCTTCTCAGGTCAATGAGATCATTATGCTCTGCTTGGGAAAATACCTCTAGGCAGAAAGCTAGTGATTTAAGGCTTACTTCATTTGTTTCTCTTCTTTAAGGGATCACAATCCTGCTTTACTTGTTATCTAATTTCAGAAAAAAGTTGCTTCATATATTTTGCCCAGTTTTCTAATTGGGTAGGAGCATAATTGTGGCACCAGTTACTTTATTCTGACCTGAAATAAAAGTCCTACTCTAATATTTATTGTTTAGAGATGCTGAACTCTATAAACATTAACGGCATTTATCTCCTTCCCCAAATCTCAAAAAATAAGCCCAGAAAATATAGGCCCTCGTAAAACTTATATTATTGTCTTCTTGTATTTTTACCTGTACATCCACTCATTCATAGGAATGTGGGCCTGATAGCTGTTGTAATCCTAGTACTTGTGTATTGAAACCAGGAGCACACTGTCATACAGGATTATGCTGCAAGAACTGTCAGGTAAGACTTAAGTTTATAATCATCTTCCAAATTATATCATTCTACTAACATAAAGCTACTTTAGAACACTTAGAATTACAGCTGTATGCCAAAGAAAATTACTTTTCAAATAAAGAAAAGGATATTAAGTTTAAGATCAAACATATGGTTTTGAGAACATTTGCTGGCTTGGGGCCTCCTTCTGTTACCATTCTCACTAATTTGATACTGCTGTTCCTTAAGCCATGATTGAGAACCAATATAGTATTTTTCCATACAGCATATCTCCATTAAAATGGACTGTTTTCATTCACTCTATTCAATATTTATATTTTTATAAATAAAAATGTTCTTATTGATGGTAATAGATGTCTGTGGTTTTGTAGTTGAAATATACAGCAGTTTTCCATAACTGTGTAAAGAATGAAACTCACTAGAGGGAACTCTTTCCAAATGCTACATGTTAGCACAAAATTTAAACTGTGGTCACTTGACCGAAAGATCACGTTAGCTTAAATAGTGAGGATGTTACCTCACTGCCCCATGTTTTCCTTTTCAGTTCTTCCGGTATATTTGTCACAAGTTCTTCACAGTAAAATCTCTTGTGATGGTTAATTTTTTGTTAACTTGGCTAAGTTATGGTTCCCAGTTGTTTAGTCAAACACTAGTCTAAATACTGTTATGAAGTAGTTACCATACTAGTTGCCATTGAGTTGACTCCGACTCATTGTGACCCCATGTGTGTCAGAGTAGAACTGTGCTCCATAGGGTGTTCAGTGGCTGATTTCTCAGAGGTAGATCACCAGGCACCTCCGGGTGGACTCAAACTTCCAGCCTTTCAGTTAGCAGCTGAGCATGTTGATCATTCGCACCACTCAGGGACTCCTATGAAGTAGTTACATATGATTAATCACGTGTACCCTCCACAATGTGGCTGGGCCTCATCTGCTCAGTTGAAAGGCTTGAAAGCATAAAAGGAGTTTCCCTAGGGTGTATTCTGCCTCTAGACTATAATTAGACATTTTTCCAAAACTCCCTCACTCTTCCCATCGCATGACCTATGAGTTTCGGGACACAAGACTATAGGAATCTCTAGCCTGTCACCTGATCTACAGATTTTGGACTTGCCAGCCCCTACAACTGCATGATCCAATTCTTTGAAATAAATCTCCCTTTCTCTCTCTCAATATATACATATATTGGTTCTGTTTTTCTAGAGAACCTTGACTAAGATGTTTTAGTACTGAGATTGGTTCTAGAGGAACAGAATCTTAAGCATGAGTTTTCTGAATTGGTTTTGGGTTTTCTGGAATTGGTTTGCAAATCTGGTTAAATTTAAAGGCACTAATGGCTCTATTTCCAGTAGTAAAGAGGGCACTGATAGTCCATGATGTGATATGGCAATAGAGATACACAAAAATCACCATTGAATACACCTAATCAAATATGACAAGGCTCTGAGTAATCATGTATTTGATACTTAGAATATTTTTGTCAAACTGATGAGTATAATGAGATTTGCTTGTTGCTCTTACTTTTGCTGGACAAGGTGGTTTTTGCTTGAATAATTGTTGACCTTTTGGTCTCATGTTGACGGTTTTTAAGTAGAACACTGATCTTATGGGTAAAGTCCTTTATTCTGTGTGTCACTCCACTGTTTTGCTAAAAGGTGATCTCAGGGGATAGGCTTGGTTTTAAGTTTAAAGCATGTCTCAGAGTGATAGTCTCAGGGAATCTTCTGTTCTCTACTGTTCCAGTTTGTCTGGCTGTTTTTTTTTTTTTTTTTTTTTAAATAAGAATTTGAGTTCTGCTCTTCATTTTTTTGCTATTCTATCTGGGACCATCTATTGTAACCTGGTCAGTATG